ATATAAAATTTTTTTATATGTAAAAAATTAATTTTATATATATATATAAATTTTAAAATATTATATAATATATATATATTTTAAAATAAAAAAATATATTTTATTGATAAAATATTAATTAAATATAAATATGATATTATTCATAAAATTTTATATAATATATATATATTTTATAAAAATACATATATTATAAGATTTTAAAATATTTTAAAATATATATTTTATATATTAAAAAATTATATATTAAAAAAAAATATAAAATATAAAATATATATAATTAAAAATAATATATTTTAAAATATATATTATTAAAATATATATAAAAATTGTTTTATATATATAATATAATATATAAATATTTATATATATTTTAATAAATATATATATATAATAAATATATTATTATATATATATATAAAGTATATAAAATATATTTTATATAAAAATATATTTTAAAAAAAAATTTTTATATAAAATATATTTTATATATAAAATATATAATATTAAAAATATTTTATATATTATTATAAAATATTTTATATAAAATATATATAAAAAAATATATATAAAATATAAAATAAAATAAATTTTATATATATATATTTTTTTATATATATATATAAATATATAAAATATATATAAAAAATATATATTTTAAAAATATATTAGTATAATAAAAATATTAAAAAAATATATATATATATAATAGTTATAAATATATATATATTTAAAGTAATATATATAAATATTAATGTATTATTTTATAAAATTTTATATATATATAAAAAATATAAAAATATAAAAATAAAAATATGTGTATAAAAATATATACTTATATATAAAATATAAAATTTATAAAAATAATATATTATTAGTATAAAAATAAAATTTTATATAAAAAAATATTATAATATAAAAATATATATTTTATTTTATTTTTAAAATATATTTTATATATTATATAAAAATATATATATAAAATAAAATATTATATATTTTAAAAATATATAAAATTATAAAAAAATATTTTTATATAAAAAATAAAATATATATTTTTATATTTTATATATATATTATATATAAATATAAAAAAAATATATATATATTATATAAAAATATTATATATATATAAAATATAATATATTTTATTTATTATATAAATTAATATTTTATATTTTTCATATTTTATTTATAAATTTTATATATATATAAAAATTTTAAAAAATATAAAATATAATATAAAATAAATATAAATATTTTAAAAAATATATTTTATATAAAATATATTTAAAAACTTAAAAAAATATATATAAAAAATTTTTTATATTTTTAAATTTAACAAAAAATAAATATATATATATAATTTTATAATATATAATAATTTTATATAATATATTTTAAAAATTTATAAAAATATATAAAAAGTTATATAATATATATATATATATTAAAATATATATATAAAAATAATTAATTTTATAAAAATATAGTTTTATATATATTTTAAAAATATAAATTAAAAATTTTTAAAATATATTTTAAAATTTTATATAATATATATAAAAAATAATATTATAATATAAAAAATATTATATATAAATCATATATAATATATATAAAATATAAAAAATAAAAAAAAATATAAAAAATAAAATATATATAAACATTTTAATTTTAAAAATATAAATAATAATATATATATATATATATAAATATAAAATATAAAAAAAATAAATAAAAAAATTGTAAATTTAAAAATAGGGGGAAAATTTTAAAAAAATATATAATAAAAAAATTAAAAAAAATTTTTTAAATTGTTTTACAAGATGGGAGGGTTGGTGCCCAAGCCCAATAAACCCTTGCCCAAGACAGGTTCGGCTTTTAATTTTTTACAATTTAAAATCCCCCAAACCCTAAACATGAAAAGCTTTTATTAACACACAATCCCCCTTGTTCGCTTTTTTCCCACCCCCGGTTTTTTTGTTTTTTTCTATTTTTGGGCTTGGAAAATTTTTTCTTTCTAAAATGGCGTTTTTTGGGTGGGATGGGACCCAAATTTCCAGGACAAGGGCCTAGTAACCCCTTTTCCCCGTTTTTAAAAATTTCAAATTTAAAAAGAGAAACTTTTTTTTTTTCTTTTTGTGCCACCCTGCCCTTTTTGGGAACTTCTGGTTTTTTTGAAAGAAAAAGATTATAAATATAAATATATAAAATAATATATATATTTTTTATAAATATAAATAAAATATATAATATAAAACATATAAAAATATAAAAAAAATATATATATATTTTAAAAAATATATATATATAAAATATATATAAATATATATAAAATATAAATATTTAAAAATTTTAAAATATTTAAATAATATATATATATTTATATATTATATATTTTAAATATATTAATATTTTTATATATTTTAATTATATAATTTATAAATATATATATATAATATATTTATATTATATATATATAAATATATATAATATAAATATATTATATATATAAATTATAATATTATATATAAATATTAAAATTACAAGATAAAAATATATATATATTTAAAAATTTTTAAATAATATATATATATTTAAATATATAAATATATATAATATTTTAAAATTTTTTAATTATTTTATAAAATTTTTTTATCAAATAAATTTTATTAATATAATAATTTTTATATATATAATATATATAAATATTTATTTTATAAAATAATAAAATAAAATTAAAAATAAACATAATAACCAATAAATTTTTTTTTTATTAAAATATATTAAATTTTAAAAACCCTAACAATATAAATTTATATATAATTTATTAAAAAATTTAAAATTTTTTAAATAAAGGTTTGGGGATTTCAAAACCTGCCCCTTTTCCCAAGGTCGAACCCGTTTTGGGGCCCGTATGGGGGGGCCAAACCCCTTATATTAAAATCCTTTCCGGATTTTTTTTCCCAATTTGGGTTGGATATCCAAAAGGGTTAATTTCTCCCACCTTTTTAATTTTTTGTAAATATTTTTTATTTTAAAAAAATTTTTTTTTAAAAAAAAAAATGTTTAAAACCTTTATTGAATATATTTGGAAAAATTTTTAAATTCCTTTGGATCATTTTTTATTCCTTGATAAAAGGAAAGGGGAAAAAGGTGGAAAAAATTTTCTATTCCCTTTTTAAAATGGGTTGGGTTTTAAAATTAAAAATTTAAAAATAATAAATAAAAATTTTAAAAATTTAATTTTAATAAAATAAAATAAATATTTTAATTTTTTAAAGATATTTTAAAATTTTTGGGTTAAAAGGGGGCGGTGGGAAGGGGGGGAAGTTTGTTTGCCCCCTTATTTTTGGGGTGGGAAAAGAATAAATTTTTACAGGGAAATTTTAGGCTCAATTGTTTGGGAAAAGGGGGGAAATTTTTAGAAAATGTTAACCAAATTGGAATTTACCGTTTTTTTTAATATAAAGTGGGTTTTGGAAAAAAATTTGGGGGTTTGAAGGGGGCTGGTTGAAAAAAAACCCCCAGGGTTTTTAGGAAAGGTTTGTTTACCTGTGCCTTTGGGGCTGGGGTCCGGGTTGGGGGAGAAAGTGGGGGGGCCAAAAAAAAAAATAAAAAATGTAGAAAAGAAAGGAAATTCAAAAAAAGGGGAAAAAAGTTGAAAATTAAAAGGGGAAAATGGAGAGGGCTTTTTTTCAAAAAATTTTAAATGGTTAAAAATTGGGCAAAAGATGAGGGGCTCTTTAGGGAAAAAGGTGATTCACTTAGGGTCCCCCCTTAGCCAAGAAATTTTTCCTTGGGGAAAAAGGGGAAAAATTTAAAGTTTTCCCCCCTTAAGGGGGGGGAAACTGTAATTTCCCCAAAACCCCAGCATTAGTGTCCTTCCGGGCCCCCAAGTGTGGTTTAAAAATGCAAAAATTGTAAAGGGAAATTGGTTAGGTTTTAAAACCAAAAACCGTTGTTTCCCGAGGACTTTTGGGGTGTTCACAGGAAGAAATAGCCGCCAAAAACCGGCTTTCATCCGTTTAAAACGGGGTTTGGGGGCGGCCATTTAGGGGGGGTAAAATTTTTTGGGCAGGGGGGCCCCGCCCCTCCCAGCGGGGTAGGTGAAGGTACCCCCTGGTTTTTTTCCCTTACGGAGATTAAATTTAACAAATTACATTTCCCCCGGGTTACAAAACCCCAAAAAGGGCCCCCCTTAAACCTAAAAATTCCTGCCTTGATGAAGGGGGGTTAAAATTTCTTTAAAAACGTTGGAAACAAACCCTTGGGAAAACGTTGGGGAATGGGTTTAAATTTTTTTTTCCCTTTCCCCCCCTGAGGGGGAATCCGGGCCCCTGTATTTAAAAAAAATAAAATTCCCGAGGGGGGGGGAACTAATGGGCCAGTTTCGGCAGACATCATCGTGAGTATCCACCGGAGATGACAGAGTTGTGACAATCCCCTGCATCAGACCGTTGCTTCTGTATCAGTGAAAGTGCAGTGTGCATGTTGGGATTTGAGGAGCAGTGGTGGTGAGGGGATCCTGCCAGCGATGGTTTGGAGGAGGTTTGTTTACCTGTGCGTTCGGCTGGGGTCCGGGTTGGGGGAGAAAGTGGTCGCTCACAACACCGTCATTGGATGCTGAACAGAGGAACACTTCGGTTAATAGTGAGAACATGGTGATTACTGTGCCAATGGAGTGGGCTTTTTTCTAAATGGAATAATAAGTGTATAACAATTAGCAAAAGTTAGTGATGTGCATCTTTAGCGAACATACAGGGCCACTCCCTCAGCTCCCTATCCCTGTGCCCCTCCCCTCATCCCAGCCTAGGCCCACTGACTTCCTGACCAAGGGTGTTGCCATTTAGTGTCCCACCAATTACTAGTTCTGCAGCTCGCTACTCCCCCACCCTCATCCTTCATGCATCCATGCTGTCCTTCACCCGTCGCCCCACAGCTGGCGCCCTCCCAGCCCCACGATGTCAGCAATGTCACAAGAAGTCCTGGGTTCCCAGGATTCTTCACGACAGACCCAAAGCCGTCGTTCGCGAGGCATCTGCCGGGTGTGCTACAGGGAATGTACACTCAGTCCCTCAACCGGCTACATCCGTGCAAACAATGGATGTCTAGGCTCCATTAGAGCTCCAAATAAGAACAGCCAACAGCCCCTCCCAGCAGATAGCGCTGACAGCTACCATGGCTTCACCTCTACAGAGGACCTCAAGTCTTCAATCAAATTGACATCCACCAAGACTCTGACACACATCCCCAAAGCAGCTCGCCCTCAAGCTGCTAACAAATTCACTGACTTTATGAAGAAAGTCAACGATACTTCTTCAAACAACAGATCCTGGCACAACCTGCTGCTTTTTTGGCAATGCCTGATTCACTGTCCCACCAAGGAGGGAGAAGTCACTAGCAACACATGCTATTAGGGCAATAAATGCATTCCCGAGGGATGACAACCTGTTCCGTCTCCCCCCAAGGGCGACAAACACCCGCCAGGCAGGACACCCGACGCCTCAAAAATCAGAGCCAAAATTAGCAAAAAAATAGAAGAGGGTAATACTATTGGAGCTCTGAGGCTTATAACCAGCGAGGATACCATCGCTCCCAAGGACGTCAGCACGGCACAAGCTGGACAAATATCCACCCAGGGCTCCTAGTACCAACATTGACCTCCCTGACATTGCAGCAGGCTAAGAACATCTAACCTTACGGGACGGTGATGTGTATAAAACTGCTGTGTCATTTCCACAGGGCTCAGCAGGAGGTTTCGCCGGTTTAAGGCCTCAACACTTAAAACAAATACTCAATCCAGCACTTGGTGATGCTTCAGAGAAGCTGCTGTTTGAACTCGCCAAATTTTCCACCCTGTACCTGGCTGGCAGTGTCCCAGAGGCCAAGACCCTTTTTCTTTGGTGCCTCATTGTGTGCCCTCCAGAAAAAGGATGGAGGAATCAGGCCCATTGCAGTGGGCAACACCCTTCGGTGCCTAGTCGCCAAAGCTACAGTAAGAAGGGTGAGGAGTCAAGGGGCGGCTGCAATGCTGAAAACAATTCAGCTCGGTTTTAGTGTTCAACAGGGCTGTGAAGCAGCTGCCCACGCAGCAAGAGCATATATCAACATGTCCGATGAAAAAGCTTTAATCAAATTGGACTTTGCCAATGCTTTCAACTCAGTCAGAAGGGATGCTGCTCTTCAAGCAGTTTATAGAAACTTCCCTCTATCCACTCATGGAATGTCCCCTACTCGCCCCCTTCCTATTCTGTTTGGTCATCAAGGAAGTCACAGAAGCACTCTCCAGTGAGCTCAATATCTGGTTCTTGGATGATGGTGCCTTAGCTGGCACAATAGAATCTCTCCTAGAGGACATCAGAAAAATCAAAGACATGGGAGAAAGCCTGGGCCTTTCTTTAAACCCCACCAAATGTGAAATAGTTTCTACCAATCGACAGATGATCCAGAATATTAGTGCTGTTTTACCAGAACATGAGCCATTGATCCAGCCAACAGCACTCTCCTTGGTGCTCCCCTTGGGTCCAATGCCATCGATCTGATTCTAGAGAAAGTCAGACCTCCAGACGATGGAAAGCAGGATGAAAGACATTGATACACATGATGCCTTCTACCTACTCACCAGGTGCCTGTCAATCCCTAAACTTACCTACTTTCTGAGATGCCCCAGCCTTCAGCAGTCCAAAACTCAAGGAATATGACTCTCTCCTTAAGAAGATGCTAGAGAGCGTGTTGAATCTTTCCCTTGAAGATGGACAGGGGTTGCAAGCCTCACTTCCGATCAGGCTTGGGGGGCTGGGAGTACGCACATCCTCCCAGATTGCTCTACCAGCTTTCGTATCCTCTTCCATAGCATCAAACGAGTTAATAAGATAAATTCTTCCTGTTAACCTCAGTGACTCAGCAGGAATACAGAACCCTAACTATGCCAGTGCCATCACTGAATGGGAGACTCTTGCTGCTCCAGCACCAAACCCTAGTGCAGCTCTGGCTCACAAACAGTCAAGCTGGAATGGCCCAATCACTGAAAAGGTGCTCACCAACATCCTCAGGGCTGTAACATCAGACAGGGAGACCGTCCGTCTCCAGGCTCTGAGTGCACCTCACCCCAGGGACTTCCTCCAAACAGTTCCCGTAATGGCAATGGGAACGCAACTCGACCCTAAGCCCCTCCGTATCATAGTGGCTCTGTGCCTTGCTGCCCCAATTCACATGGAATATACGTGTATCTGCGGCAAAGCGCAAGCCGATCAATATGGTCTACATGGTCTTAACTGTTCCAAAACCAAGGGCTGGCATGCAATACACAATGAGGTCAACAACATCATAAAGAGGACCCTTGCTACAGCTGGATGCCCAGCCGAGAGGGAGCCCCGGTCACTAGCAGCGAACAATTCCCAGAACCCAGCAAACCGCCCTGACGGGATCACCATCTATCCTTGGAAGAATGGCAAGCTCTTAGCATGGAATTATACCTGTGTGTCCACCTGGCTGACACCTATATCCATCACAGCGTCGGGCGACAAGGAGGAGCTGCTGACCACAGGGAGGAGTACAAGATCAGGAAGTGTAGGGACATAAGGAAAGCAGTATCAATTTGTCCCAGTGGGATGAAAGACCTTGGGATTATGGGGAAAACATGCCACACGTTTCCTTAAAGAATTGGGTTCCAGACTCATCGACACCACCAGGGACCCAAGGGCAGCCACTTTCACGTTCCAGTGCCTCAGTGTGGCCATCCAGAGGGAAAATGCGTGCTGTATACTTGGCTCGCGTCCGGCTTTGGAGGAGCTGGAGGAAATTCATAATCTTTAATATATTTTACCATTGTATTCAGTATATATATATATATATATATAATATATATATATATATATATATATATATATATATATATATATATATAATATATTATTATTAACACACTGGCTGATTCCCACCAAGGCAGGGTGGCCCGAAAAAGAAAAACTTTCACCATCATTCACTCCATCACTGTCTTGCCAGAAGGGTGCTTTACACTACAGTTTTTAAACTGCAACATTAACACCCCTCCTTCAGAGTGCAGGCACTGTACTTCCCATCTCCAGGACTCAAGTCCGGCCTGCCGGTTTCCCTGAATCCCTTCATAAATGTTACTTTGCTCACACTCCAACAGCACGTCAAGTATTAAAAACCATTTGTCTCCATTCACTCCTATCAAACACGCTCACGCATGCCCGCTGGAAGCCCAAGCCCCTCGCACGCAAAACCTCCTTTACCCCCACCCTCCAACCTTTCCTAGGCCGACCCCTACCCCGCCTTCCTTCCACTACAGACTGATACACTCTTGAAGTCATTCTGTTTCGCTCCATTCTCTCTACATGTCCGAACCACCTCAACAACCCTTCCTCAGCCCTCTGGACAAGAGTTTTGGTAATCCTGCACCTCCTCCTAACTTCCAAACTACGAATTCTCTGCATTATATTCACACTACACACACACACACACACACACACACACACACACATATATATATATATAGTATATATATATATATATAATATATATATATATATATATATATATATAATATATATATATATATATATATATATATATATATATGCAAGGAATTCGCGAGAGCAGGCGAAATATACAAAAACACTGATCTCTGGCTGAAGGAGACTCGAACCTACGAACCTTAGGACAAGGTACGTACCTTGTCCTAAGGTTCGTAGGTTCGACTCTCCTTCAGCCAGAGATCAGTGTTTGTGTATATTTCGCCTGCTCTCGCGAATTCCTTGCATTGTTAAAATCTCTAGTAAGGCTGATGCATGCAGGGGATGAGATGAAAAGCTGTAAGCCTTCTCCCTTAAAGCTGGCTGCCTTGGATCAAACGTGTAGCGCAAGCTACACGCCAAGGTATTGTCCAGTGTGGGTAGATTGGTAAAGCACTGCGTACCTTGTCCTGAGGTTCATAGGTTCGAGTCTCCTTCAGCCAGAGATCAGTGTTTATATACATATGTATATATATAGTTGAGAGAGAGAGAGAGAGAGAGAGAGAGAGAGAGAGAGAGAGAGAGAGAGAGAGAGAGAGAGAGAGAGAGCGTAAAACTGACTGAATGCTCATTACAACATGCCAAAATAGATGCTTCCAACTACATTTTATCTTCTGCACTTCCAGAGAAGGATAAAGATTACTTCCTCTCAATGCATCATCGGCCGGATACTGATGGCAGTCTCAGTGTTATGCGCTTGAACTACTACCCGGCAGTTCCCTCAACTACACCCAAGGACTCGACTCGCTTCGGTGCCCACAATGACTACAGCACCTTCACCTTCATCTTCCAAGACAATACTGGAGGACTACAGGTCAGATTGTGGTGATCCTCACCGCAAGGTGTTCTTGCAAGGCAGTGTGAGACTTTCAGGCACTTTTAGCCTTTACAAGAAGAAATCAAACTGTTTCTGAATGTGGATTAAGTATTCCTGGATCATAAAATGCTATCTTGACTCATTTTTATTTTTTTTCAGGACGAGCTGAATGGTCTCTAAATTTGTATATTTTGCTGCAACATGTCATAAACTGTTCCCAGGTTAGACAGAGTTTTTCACTGATAATGGATGGTTTCGTATTATGAATGATTTTCTAAGGCAACATGGAAGTCCTTGAAGGCAAATTATTCATGTAAAGACGATCACACAAAGTCTGCAGGTTTGTTTGTTGTTCTAAAATGCTATTCGTCTAAGTGCCAGCCTATGTTGTTTGACAATATCTTGGGTAATCTCTGGTCCAGTTCTCACTTTTCCAAAAAGACATTACACATAGCTTCCTGGTCTGTTTGTGGTGTTTCCGGACATCGTAAATACTTTACAGGTTAGTTAATAGTGCTAATAAGGCCCAGGAAACCATCGTGACAGCAGATGCATCAAGGAAGCCAAGAATAATGAGCACCAACTCGAGCCCTTCAGGACAGGAGGGATGATCTGTAGGTCAAAAAAAAAAAAAAAAAAAAAAAAAAAACGATGACCCCGTAGGCGTTATACAACTTTTGGGGAATAAGCGATATTCAGGTTTGATGTGAAGAGCCACTCGTTAGAATTAGAGAACTTTCCTTAAGGGAACACTTCCAGGACTAGAAGAAAGATCTGGAAGTCAAAAACATTCATGCTAGGTCATCCTTCTATACAGAGTAATGAGGACAGCTGTTCCTGTACTTCCATGATTTCCTTTTAATGAGTTTCATAATCACTAAAATTTAGCGACATGAGCTGCAACACTTAATTACTTTGACTATTTTAATCATACTCGCTCTTCGACATAAGCGGTGATTTCATTGCCACTAAATTCATTCCTCCACTCACTCCCACACCTCTTCATTTATATGAGTACACCTTAACAACCCCAACACCAACCTTCTTTGTGAACTTTATATGTTGCATTGCTGTATAGCCCTTGTGGTTTAGCGCTTGTTTTTGATAATAATAATAATAATCTTCATTTATATACAATAATAGATACGAACTTCTCGGTGTATATACTGTGAGAGGTATACAAGTCTCGGGGTACATGCACTATGAGATATTTCCCTGTGGGTATATATCCTATTGGTGACATAAATAGCAAACTACCATGTCATTTAGGACACAGTACTTTGCTACTTAAGAGAGAGAGAGAGAGCGAGAGAGTGTGTTTACTCACCTAATTGTGATTGCAGGGGTCGAGACTCAGCTCCTGGCTGAGTCTCGATAGCTGATCGCTGCTAGGTCCTCTCTCTCTCTCTCTCTCTCTCTCTCTCTCTCTCTCTCTCTCTCTCTCTCTTCTCTTCTCTCTCTCTCTGCTCCCTGAGCTTTGTCATACCTCGTCTTAAAGCTATGTATGGTTCCTGCCTCAACTACATCACTTGAGTGTGTGTGTGTGTGTGTGTGTGTGTTTGTGTGTGTACTCACCTACACATGCTCACCTATATGTGGTTTCAGGGGTTAATTTACAGTTCCTGGCCTTGACTCTTCGCTAGTCACTACTCCAAGAGCCTTATCATACCTCTTCTTAAAGCTATGTATAGATCTGGTCTCCCCTACTTCACTATCCAGACTGTTCCACTTCCTGACACCTCTAAGGGTAAAGAAATACTTCCTAACATCCTCTTGACTCATCCGAGTTGTTGTGCCCTGTCCACTCTGTCAATTCCTCTCTGTATTTTATATTTCCTTTATCCCTCCTATCCTCTAGTGTCATCAGGTTGAGTTTCGTTAATCTCTCATAAGACATACCCCCTTAGTTCCGGGACTAATCTTGCTGCAAATTTTGCACTTTCTCCAATTTCTTGACGTGTTTGAACAGGACAGGGTTCCATACTGGTGCTGCATACTCCAATATGGGTTTGACGTACACGATGTACATTGTCGTGAATGACTCCTTACTTAGATGTCGAGATGCTATTCTCAGGTTTGTCAGGCGCCCATATGCTGCGGTTATTTGGTTGATGCGCGCCTAAGGGCACGTGCTCACCCTAAGATCTTTGCTCACCCCAAGATCTTTTTCCTAAGTGAGGTTTGCTGCCTTTGATCCCCTAGCCTGCGTTATTCTTTGTCATTCTCCAAGCTTCATGACTTTACACATGGTGGGGTTAAACTCCAGGAGCTATTTGTCAGACCAGGCTTGCAGCCTGTCCAGATTCCCTTATAATTTTACTTGATCCTCGTCCGCTTGTATTCTACTTATCAGTTTCACATCATCAATTTATTAGTTTCACATCATCTATTCCTTCCATCATATTATTCACATTTATGAGAGCAACGGACCCAGGACTGACCCTTGCGGAGCTCTACTCTCCACTTGGGCCCCACTCTGACACCTCATCACGTACCAACACTCGTTGTTTCCTTCCTGTCAGATATTCCCTGATCAATTGCAGTGTTTTCCCTATCGTTCTTCCCTGCTCCTCTAGCTTTTGAACCAGTCTTTTGTGTGCTACTGTGTCGAAAGCTTTCTTACAGTAAAGAGAGATGCAATCTATCCATCCCTCTTTCTCTTGTCTTCTGTTACCTTGTCGTAGAACTCAGGTAGATTTCAGACAGGATTTCCCATCCCTGAAGCCGTTGGGATTGTCATGTATGAGCCCAATCCTTTCTCTGGGTTCCATCACTCTTCTCCACGACTGCATACTATACATGACAGGAGCATTTGTTAAATTAGACACATATGTAACTCTTGGGTATCTTTATTGAGGAAACGTTTCGCCACACAGTGGCTTCATCAGTCCATACAAAGGAGAATCGTGAAGAACAGGAGAAGAATGAGGTAATCAGTCCCTCAACCTTGAGTCGATGTGGTCAGTCCATCAATTTTGAATAGAATACAGCATATGTGCCGAGAAATAATCAGTCCCTCAAGGTTGAGGGACTGATTACCTCATTCTTCTCCTGTTCTTCAAGATTCTCCTATGTATGGACTGATGAAGCCACTGTGTGGCGAAACGTTTCCTCAGTAAAGATACCCAAGAGTTGCACATGTGTCTAATTTATCAACGTGTCGGTTCTCTGAACCATTCATTTACAAGGAACATTTGTCTGTAGTTTTATGCTACTCGTCTGTCTCCTTTCTTATAAATTTTGAACTATGTTTGCTGTTGTCCACGCCTCATGCAGATGCCCCTTTTCGATAGATTTGGTAAAGATTAATGTTAGAGGTGCACACAGTGCGTCTGCTCCCTCTCTCAGAATCCAAGAAGAGATGTTATCTGTGCATACCGCCTTTAAGGTGTGTGCTTACCCTACCGCCTCGGTATGCTGAAAACCACTCTTTTTCCACTTGTGCTGAGCTCTTTACATACTTCCTGGTCGCTCCCTGTGAGCTTCCCTCCTTCCTTCCTAAGCCTGGTTACCTGGTCCTTGACTGTTGTTTTCCTCTTCATGTGGATGTATAACAACTTTTGGTCAGATCTGGCTTTTGATGCAATGTCATTCTCATATGTTTGTTTCTGATTCATCAGCTCAACTCCTGGTTTTCCTTAGTCCTTTGTTTTCTATACTTTTTCCATACTCTAGCACACTTGGCTTTGGCCACTCCTCCGGGTAAACCATACGCTCACTCTGGTCTTCCCATTGTTTCTGTTGTCCTTTGGTACGAACTTCTCTGCCTCCGTACACTTTGGTGGTCATGTGTTCCATCATTTTGTTTATTGTCTTTCTCTCTAGTTCTCTTTCCCACCGTACCTACTGCAGGAATTGCCTCATTCCTGTGTAGTCCCCTTTTTTGAAGTTAGGCTTCTTCCGACCTTCTCCGTGCTGCTTCACTCTCCACTGTATTCGAAACTCAGGATCACATGATTACTAGTGCCAATGGGGCTTTCATGTGTAATATCTCCTATGCCTGAACTGCTCATCGTCCTCTCTTTCTCTCATTGTATCCCAGCATCCCTAATAAGTTGGTGCAAGAAGTTTTCCAGTATTGCCTCCAGCATCTTAGCCCTCCACGTCTCTGGTCCCCCAGTTAATCTCTTTGCGGTTGAAATTCCCCATGACAAGTACCTTTGCCCTGCCCACGTGAGCCTTTCTGGCTACCTTGGCTAGTGTGTCCACCATTACTCTGTTGCTTTCATCATATTCTTGTCTTTGCCTCCTGCTGTTCGATGGTGGGTTGTACACTAGTGCTATCATCATTTTTCGACCCCCGATCTGAAGTGTTCCTACTATGTAGTCATCAACTTCCCCTCTGCCCAGTCTTCTCATTTCCTCAAAATTCCATTGAGTCGTGATGAGCAGTGCAACTCCTCCTTTCCCTCGGTTTCCCTGTCTTTTGTTATTCCATCAGGTTGTTGTTACCCTCGACTTGTCTTGTGTGCAACGATCTGGGATCTTCGGGTGATTTTTGTACCTGTATTTTATAGGGGTTGGGTGTATTCCTGTTTTTTAGTACTGTTGTGGGGTGGGGATTGGTTAGTGAGTGTAAGCTGGTGGGTATTTGTGGTGTTGTGTTTTGGTGCATTATTTTGGGTGGAGGATTTGGAGTGGGTTGCCTCGCCTTTATTTGTTGTTTTGGTGAGGTTCTCTTTCCCCTGACACTGGTCTTTCCCCCAGGTTCCCCGTCTTTTTGCTGCCTGTTCCCCCTCCCACTATCTTCTACTCCCTAGTTGTTCCTTCTTTTATTTCTGTACGTGTGTAATTGCCGTATTTGTACCCTTTATGTGTTTCTGTCTCTGTGTGTGGGGTTTGTTTGTGGTTGTGGTGGTGTTTGTGTTCACTACCTTTTTTGATGGTCGGATCAGTTTTTCCGGCCTCGCCTTTTCACTGTCAACTTGTCCCCTTTTTTCTTGGACATTTACCATAGTTTTAAAGTTTTATGAGGTTCCTACCCCTCCTCACTTTCC